ACACACACACACACACACACACACACACACACACACAGTGGAATTCTATCTTCCATCAGAAAGAATGCCATTACCCCATTTGTAAGGAAATGGAAAGACCTGGAAAAAAATCATATTAAGTAAAGTAAGCCAGACCCAAAGAATTGTAAATACCATGGTTTCCCTCATAGTTAATAATTAGTATATGTCTAGGATAGTCCTAGAAGAGGATCATAATATCTCAATAGCTATGTACATATGACCATATAAGATGCTAAGCAAAATGAACTCCAAGCATGTGAATGTTGAAGTGGGGAAGGGACACAATTCAGTCCCTAACAGAAACTATAACGAACTGTCTTTTTAATGAGAATAGTCTCCTGATCTGTTAGTCTCACCATCTCTACTTTAAAACAGATATTCCTCCTTTGCCCTCTGTATGCATGTTTTCAACTCTCTTGTGGAGACAGACCAGCTACTTCTGTGGCAATAGGAATTACTGAATCCTTTCCTCAGTTAGCCTATCAGAAATGTAACTCTTGTTTTGGGAGTCCTAGGGTTTGAGCCCTTGCTAGGCAGGGATTCTACCACTTGAGCCACCTCCCAAATCCTTGGTGTTTTCCTTATTCTTTGGATAGAGTCTCAGTGTTTTACCTGATCAGCCTGAACCATGATCCTCCTATTTTTACTAGAGTGACAAGGATATGCCTCTATGCCCAGCTTTTTATTGGTTAAAGTGGAGTTCTGGGAATGTCATTGTCTAGGCTGGCCACATACTACAATCCTCCCTAATCTCAGCCTCCTGAGCTAGCCATGTTATGTAGCATCTTGTTCTTAAGTGTAGGTGCCCCTACTCACGTGGGGAGTTGTTAATGATACAGAAGCCTGGCTTGGCCTCATTAATTCCACATAATAGAGGGGAATTGGGAATATGCCCTTTACCTACTAGTTTGGATAACAGGGATCTTGATAGAAATTCTAGACCCATGGCCCAGAGATTCTCATTTTCAAGTCTGAGGAGGGCCAAGAACCTTAATTTGTAATTAGACTTTTCTGAGCCTACCATTCTGGAAGATCCTCAAGCACTTTTAAATAATTCAACATCAGGTATGTACCTTCATTTCTTGGTTTCTGAGCCCTCCAAATACAGAAGGGGCTTCATGTTCCTATCTTCCTAAAGGAGCGAAAAAGACAACTGGCAGGCCCACCTCTTGCTTGTCTTCTGCTCTGACACATGGGACATTTTCTATGGGCATTCTAGAGCCCAAGGAGTAATTTACATGTAAGGAGCTCTGACTCAGGATACTGATTTTTATGTTGTACAGAGGAAGGTGATATATTTTGCAGAAAAGGGCCAGGGTATAGATATCCCCTCCTGTGTGTGTTCTGAGCCCACACAAGCAAGTCTTACCCACAACCAATGCTACTTTCTGCATGTTCTGTTTCCTGTGCATTCTGCTTTCTGCCTATTCACCATGAAGTTCCTGCTTGTTCTCTTTGTGTACTTTGGGCTTTTGGGCCCCAGTAACAGGGAAGCTAAATCCAATAGGAAACTGTAGGTCCTTAGCATCTTAGTTTATAAGAGGCTGTCTCTGTGTTGTGACCCTCCAGTTGAAATCTGCTCCCATATACCTGAGGATTTTTTTTGGTGGAACCACCCATGCAGGCTTAATATATTATATTCTAGGGACTTTCCAAAGAGTCTGTCCTAATGGTGATTCACTTCTGCACAAGTGAGCAGTATTAACAAGAGGAAACTTCTACCTGTTCTCTTTTTTTAACCTGAAGAACTCATCAGGGAGTAGAAAATTCTAGGTACAAAGACCTTGGAATTCAGGGTGTGGGGGCTGCCAGGAGAGACCTTACCCATCACCTCTCCTTGCCCTGTTAGGAGGTTATATAAGGAGGAAGACAGCCAGATGAAGCTCCTATAGGAAATGAACACATCCAGACTGAGATTCTACTCAAGAGTAGCTGCTAGAATGAGGCTGACTTGTTCATTGTCATCAAGTCATTGTCTACTCTCACCTAAGGCCTTTAAAGAATAGAGCTGAGGCTTTCTATGGTCCAAGAGCTCTCTAGACCTCCTGTGCTGTTTTTCTGTTCATCTGTCCACTGCAGGCTTATTGAAGGACTATTTATGAATTGAATGAATGGTGACCAGCAGAAGTAGAGCTCTTAGTATTACCTCAGACCTCCTCTGCACATCAGAAACTAATGTCCTGCTACTGACTTTTCAGATTACAGTTAAGGTGCTTCAAGAAGGTGACTTAGCCCCACACCCTGGCCACCAGTCCAGTGCTCAACAAGCTATAATGTACATATGACTCCCTAGGGGTGAGGAGCTCCTCACACAGTTCTGAGGCAAAGCTGCTACTTGTGTTCCTTGAACCACACTTTGAATAGGCAGGACCTAAACACTTGCCCAGACAGGAATTCTTACCATTGGTATTTAAGCTTGAATCCTAAGGAAGTTAAGCATCTGCCTTGTTACAACTGACTGAGGTTACTCAATAATAGGCAAACTAGTCATACTGCCCAGTTACCAACCTTCATCGCTGAGCCCACAATGCTGATGGTTGCTGTTAGGGTCCTACATTAGATTCCTGATATGATGGGGCCTGGGGAGTAAAAGAATAAATATAGCGTCTTTTTTTCCCAGGATCAAGAAATGCCATTTGGTTGAGTTAATTAGTCTCCAATAAAAAGACACATTATCACTGAAAATCCCAAGCCATTCTCAATCCTCAGACCCTTTTGCCTCCCAGGCATGTGGGAACTGACAGGACAAGGTAGAAGGGAAGCACTGAATATTGCTAAAATTAAGATGCTTGATGCTGGGCATGGTGATATTGACCTGTAGTCCTAGATACTTGAAAGACTGAGGCTGGAGGATTTGTTTTGGGGTCTAGACAACATAGTGATTCCATATCCAAAACAAAACTGAAAGCAAAAAAAAAAAAAAACAAAAAACCATGATGCCATAGCCAATAAGAGCAAGTACACAGTACTAGAAGAACTAATAGGCATGTGAAAACTCTCCCTGTCAGCCTAACGTTGAACATCTTTTGTGTTTCAGATTCCATGCATTTGCTGAGAGAACAACATGCGCAGAATTTCCTAAATTCCCCACAAAGGATGATGACAATGTGATTACTTGGAATTCAAGGAAACTGAAAGGAAAACTCCCCCCAGGTACTTGAAATCTGCCAGGACCTTAGTAATTTCAAGTGATCTGAAAAAAATGGCTAAGAAATAAAGTATCAGGCAAGTACTTTATTATTTATGTGGCCCAAGAGTGGAATCAATGGATGTTATTGGTGAATTTATCAGCTAATAATGTTGTTCATTGCCAAACAAAATGCCTTAAAATTTGTGTTTTCTAATTGGGGACCCTTCTAGAGACTTGATCCAGGCATGTCAATGCTGGTGTTAGTTAGTTAGTTAGTTAGGCAGAGCTGTTTTATTGTCTGGGTTAGCTGGGAAACTGCAGTGAGGGTTCCTGTCATTCTTGGGGATGGCTCTGCTCCGCTTTCTGATGAAAGAAATGCTTGTGGATCTAGTATGTGGGGTAGACCTACCTGTTGTGAGGTCTGAGGCTATACAGGGACCTTATGGAATCTGAGTGAACCATCTTTTTCATTCAGTGAATGTGGTTTAGAGAGTGAGGGTACAAAATCAGTGAGAAACAGGGCCTTGATTCAGAAAGGCAGTAATAGAAGGTTACTCAGAAAGCTAAGAGATGGGAGTTTCTATTGGGCTAGTGAAATTGCAAAGTACACAGTATACGGACTAATTGCCATGAAAGAAAGAAGGGAAGAAAGCTCCCTTCTCCATTGTTGGATGATGTGGCACAGCGAATCGTCTAAAGTCTAAGAAATTCCATCCCCACCTCCATTCTTATGCACATTATTATTTATCAAGTAGGCATTTAACTTCAATATAAGACTGGGACTACTCTTAGGAGCTAGAGGAGAAGCTTTAGCATACTGTTACTTGAAGGATTTCTGGGCTTACCCAGTGGTCTTGTAAAAGCTCCTCCAAGGGTGCTTTAACTGTAAGTAGAAATCTGTGATGTTACTTGCTAGGTTGTCCAATGGAGATCTTGGCAGCAAATCAGGTCAGGCAGGCTGTTGCTGACATGCTTTGCAGATTCAGATTCTTAATGCCCCAGAGCAGGCCTGGGAAGAAGTTCCAGTAGAACTCACCAGAGCACTACACTAGGCAACTAATACCTTTGTTCTGATCATGAAGTTGACATCTTCAGAGAATTTGAGAACATATCAAATGGTAAGCAATATAGATGCTAATCTAAGAAAAATTAATTCAGAATGTATGGTTTTTGAAGTAAGTTACTATATCATGTGGCAATGAATCAGAGTAAAAATGTGAAATGTCACCAGCTCACTTAGGCTTTCCAGTGACCACAGAGTTTGATTTTGGACTATACCTTGGAGTGTTTCTGAGCTATAACAGAATAATACACATTCACAATAATGACATTAGTTCGTTCATGAGGGCAGAGCCTTAATCAGAACCTCTGATTAAGCTCCACCTCCTAATACTTCACTAGCAAGTTAACTTTGTGGGACACATTTAAGCCTTAATGCTTAGCAAAGGAAAATATATCTGGCCAAATAGCTTACATTTTCAACAATTCCCATCTTCCCAGCCAAATGAAGCATTAAAAATAAATTACAGATAAAACACTTTTATTAGAATGAAATGTTCAGCATGCCTTGACATTCTAAATCCATCTCAATAGTCACAAGTTCTGAATTTGGGGGGAGAGTGTCAAATCCTAAATATGTGATACTGTCTACTCTATCCATCACACTGTCCCAGAAATGCCATCATTTCAAAGCCTACTGCTCCCACTCAAAAACTGCCCAGAAATATTTGACAGAATATGTTGGTTTGGGAAAATGTATGCTTTCCAGTTTTGCTTGTGGTTCAGTAGCATATTTTTAACCTTTTCCTGATTGGTTTGTTCTCTATTACCACATCACCTGTCATAAGCATTTATTAACATCGTTTTCCTAGACTACCTCCTATACCCAGGAGACAAATTTACCTCTCATTATAGAAAACAGAGACGTTCAAGTGAAGGATTGGAGAAATACTACTTAGAAAACTCATACGACAGAATTAGCATTTCCTACTATTACTGACTTTTTGGACTCTTGATCATTGGCTTTTAAAGCTTAACTTACTTCATACTCCACACCAGTGCAACAACAAAAACCAAAGAAAAGAACAATTCTGTAGTTAAAGAATACTGTTAAAATTGCAGTAAAATTTATATGACATGAAATTTACCAGTATTAACAAAGGGTAAGTTACAGTTTAGTGGTATTAAGCATGTTCACATTATTCTGGAACCTTTACTACTACGTATCTGCAGAACTCTTTTCATCTTTCCAAACTCTCTATCTTATTAAAGAATGATTTCCTATGGTTTATTCTGCTAATATTACAGTTACAAAATATCAGAGACTAGGAAATGTATAAAGAATAGAAAGTTGTTTCTCAAAGTTCTGAGACTTGAAAGTCCAAGATCTGGTGTCTGATGAGGGCTTATTATGAGCTTCAAGATGGCTTGTAGCTACATCCTCCAGAGGGGACCTATATTGTGTTCTTATTTCCTGTCAAAAACAGGAAAAATGAAAGCTCTAGAACAGTAGTATAGTCATGGGAACAGATCCTGAAGACTCATCCAAAAGCCCCATCTCTTAATATTATCACATTTGGGTACTAGGTATCAACATATGAATTTCGGGGGGGGGTCTATACATTCAACACCTCATTTCCCCTCCTGCTGGGCCTCTAGCAGCCATTTTTCTACTGTCTGTCTATTTAGATCTGGCTATTTTCAATGCCTCATAACAAATGGAATCACATAGTAGTTGTCCTTCTGTACCTGACTTATATCACTTAGTATGATGCAGAAGTTCCCTCATTTTTAAGGCTGGACAATATTTTGTAATGTTGTAATATTTTGTTATATATAATATTGATATATAATTTAGTAATAAAAACATAATCTATGGCTGAATAATACTTCATTGTTTATATATACCACATTTTCTTTATCCATTCATCAGTTGATAAACATCTAGGCTGATTCTGTAGCCAAGCTATTGTGAATAGTGCCACGAGAAACATGATACATAGGCATCTTGACTATATGCTGACTTGCATACTTCGGATGTATGCCAAGCAGTGGTACAACAAGCTTATAAGGTACTTATAGCTTTAGTTTTTTTTAAAGGAACATCCTTACTGATTTCCATAGTGCATGCATTAATTTACATTTCCACTAACAATACAAAAAGGGTCTTTCCCCCCCACATTCTCATCAGCATTTGTTATTGTTGCTGGTTTTTTTTTCTTTTGGCTGGTCATGAGTCTGTGAACTCTGGGCCTGGGTGCTGTCCCTCAGCTCTTCAACTCAAGGCTTAGCATTCTACCACTTGAGCCACAGTACCACTTCCAACTTTTTCTGCTTATGTGGTGCTGAGGAATTGAATCCAGGGCCTCATGTATGCAAGGTAAGCATTCTACCACTGAGTCATCTTCCTGGCCCATTGCTTTGAATTTGAATAGATGTATTCATCCATTGGTGGGATTTCTCTACAAAATTGAGCTTTTCCTGTGCTTTTCAGGCAAAGGGAACCAGTATACTGTCACAGACAATATTTGCTGCTTAGGGTGGTTTATTGGTATGGCTTGAATATTAAGGCTCTCCCCAAAAGGCTCATATATTGAAGGACTGGTCCTCAAATGCAAATAAGTGTTCCAAAATAGGACTTTTTGGAAGTTACTGGATCATGAGGACTCTGGCTTCATGAATGGATTAATCATAATTCGATGGCGTTTTGGGGAGATTTTGTAAACCTTAGGAAGTAGAACCTGGTTGGAAGAAGGTTACTGGGGATATAACTTTGAAGGATGCATCTTGTGCCTTTCTCTTTGCTTCCTCTTAGTCATTCTGCTCTGCCTCCTACCTGCCTTGAGGTGAGCTTCTTTGCTCTAACAGATGATCCTGACATGATCTTCAGTCTCTCCTTAGGCCCATAGCATTGGAAACAGCTGACAATAGACTGAAACCTTTGAAATCAGGAACCAAAATAAATCTTTCATAGGTTGCTTGTGTCAGGCATTTTGTCACAGCAACAAAAACTTTAGTTAATACATCATTAGTGATATACTACATTTTAACTTTTTCTTATATTAGTTTCTAAGAGTTTATAGTAAATCTGCTTTGGCTGAGAAGAACATGGAAATAGAGGACAGAAAGGGGTCTAAGGTCAGAGTCCCTACTGAGTCAAGACCCCATTTGAGCATTTGGGCAGATGTAACTCAGCTGTGATGGGCTTGGTGGTCTGGTGCTGTCTAAAGACCCTTTCCCTGGATTTCTCTGAACTTCTAGGGAGGAGGTCTCCTTCTTGGAATTGTATCCCACTTGGAGTTATTGCTCATTTCTGCACATAAGTCTAGAAGATAATCAGCAACTCTCTTCTTTCCACCACCATCCTGCTTTCTATTTTTTGGGGGGGGG